ATGGGTTATTTATGCCGACAAGATTTTTTTTTATTGCTGGTTACATTTTCTTTCTTTCTTTCTTTCTTTCTTTCTTTCTTTCTTTCTATCTATTTATCTATCTATCTATCTATCTATCTAAGTATATATTTGTTTGGTTTGGTTTCTTTTCCGGCATATCCACTTCAATGGGTTATTTAATGCTGACAAGATTTGTATTGCTGGTTATATTTTCTTTCTTTCTTTCTTTCTTTCTTTCTTTCTTTCTTTCTTTCTTTCTATCTATTTATCTATCTATCTATCTATCTATCTATTGGTTTGGTTTGTTGAGTTACTTAATGCTGACAAGATTTATATTGATGTTACTAATTTTTTCCAAAAATGTCTTGCTGGTAATATTTTTTTTTTAAATGTATTGCTGGTAATATTTTTTTTTTCAAAAATGTATTGCTGGTAATATTATTTTTTCAAAAATGTATTGCTGGTAATATTTTTTTAAAATGTATTGCTGGTAATTTTTTTCAAAAATGTATTTTTGTTAATACTTTTTCAAAAAAAATATTGCTGGTATAATTTTAAAAAAAAAACTATTACTGGAATTTTTTTTTTCAAAAAGTATTGCTAGGGAAAAAAATCAAAAAAAGTACTGCTGGTATTAAAACCTATTTTTATACTTTCATAGTGTTTTGACACCTTTTGGGGGATTAATTATTTGCCCAAAGCTTGGACCATGACAGGTGCTACCACTCTGGATTAAGGTGGACTTAGAAACACTAGCAATTAAGAGGTGGTTCCACGCTCCTCAAAACCTTCTGATCAAAGGCTTTTCTGCCGGATGTAGTTTATCGTCATACCCAAGACGAAAGAATTTCTGTCGACCCCCCAAAAGCGCTACTAAATTTTTAATTTCTCTCTTTTTTTTAATTAAATATTCACCCAGTACAATGTATAAGATCCACTCAAGATGGTGGTTGGTACTGGATGATGTTGCTGTATGCATATAAGAGGGGGAAGCATTAACTATTATGAGGATATGTCGGATTGATAACGGCTGACCCTACACTTGAAGTGATTAAGATTTTAAAGATCGTCAAAGCCTACGCGCACAAGTTTATTCAACAAAGTAGCGGTTCTCTGAAATAGATTGTCTGAGTGGAACTCCCTTTCACGACAGATTGTCCGAGCCTCCCTGTGGCCATCTCTGACGTCATCCGTCCATGTAGGAAAATAACGGCAACATCCATGGGATACTTTAGTTTTAACGCCATATATAATGAGGAGGCTTCCCTCTTTGCAGAGAATTTTGCTAGTTTTTTTTTTTTTTTTTTTTTTTTAGTTCGGGCGAAGCCAACTCAAATACAAATGTTTGGGAAGACGTCTTTCGCTTCAAACAGCTGGTACAACACCTTCAGGTATTTTACCCCCGTGTTCCTTATACATGTAATAACACCTGGAGCTTTCGGACGATCACGGGGGTCCTCCACCGACTTTCCGTCGACGGGGGTGAGTTTAAATAAAGAACATAAAAGATTTTTTAATGGGCGGACAAGTCCTTCTCTAGCTCTTTCCTGCCCACATTGCATATTTCCTCTGGGCCAGGGAATTTTGTTTCTTTTTCTCTCTGGCCCGGTGGGGCGAGAAAGAAGTGGGGGCGTAAGGGGTTGTAGAGGTTGAATTGAGATAATATAATTCGAAGGGAATGGGGATGATTTGATTCCACATATGCTGAATGGCGTGTCTTCAATGTAAAATACGATCTCGTGGAACTAAGGAATATACCAGGTCTGAACATCTGCTATGGAAATAGCGATAGAACTGTGAAAGGCTTGCGACTTTACGTCTGTGGGAAAATGGTCCTAAAGAATTCATTACTCACAAAGTCCCATAGACTGTTGTCGAGGTCTAGTTGGTTGTATATTCAAATATAAACACGGCCAATACTTACCGAGATAGTCGTGTATAAACTCTATCAAAGTTTATTAAGTGTAAACCCAACTAGTTTTTATATATCTACTCAAGTATACGACTAACTAATGATTACCTACTGCTCCAAGCATAAACCCGATAAATGTTATCTATAGACTCAAGTAAAAATATAACCATTATTAATCTATAGATTCAAGCGTTAAATTCTACTAATTTTTACACATGAACTTAAGTATACATCTAGCAAATATCCAAGCAATATTAATCTATCGATGCAAGCATAAAGCCGATAAATTTTATCTATGGTCTCATGTATAAATCTAACCAATATTAATCTAAAGACTCAAGCATAAAGCCGATAAATATTTATCTATAGACTCAAGTATAAATTTAACCAATATTAATCTATCGACTCAAGCATAAAGCCAATAAATGTTATCTATAGTCTCAAGTATGAATCTAACCAATATTAATCTATAGATTCAAGCATAAATACGATAAATATTATTTATAATTTCAGGTATTACTCTAAGCAATATTGATCTATCGACTCAAGTGTATACACAATAAATGTTATCTATAGACTCAAGTATATATCTAACCAATATTAATCTATAGACTTATGCATAAACCCGGATGTGTTTTTGCCTCAAGTATAACAAAAAGCAAACTGCAATATTAAGTATCCCGACCAGGATTGATATGTTGCAAACTCCGACTTAATAGAAGGGTGTTACGAAATAGATAAATGACTGCCTTAAAAAACGGAGTCTAACGTTTTGTTACTCTAATCAGAAGCTACCGTACTGCTTTGGTAAAAATGCCTGTTGCGCATAAGCATGACCAACCATCAACGAACTTGCAGTAAACGTGGAATGCTCTACTGAAACATCGTCGCGAAGTCAAATTAAAGATTTTTAATTGCAACTCAGTCATGAGCAAATGTACCCAAATTTAGCTAAATCCTAAGCAACTCATTGATGAGCAATTGTACTTAAATTTGGCTAAATCCTCAGCAACACATTGATGAGCAATTGTACTTAAATTTGGCTAAATCCTAAGCAACACATTGATGAGCAATTGTACTCAAATTTGGCTAAATTTTAAGCAACACATTGATGAGCAATTGTACTCCAATTTGGCTAAATCTTAAGCAACACATTGATGAGTAACTGTACTCTAATTTGGCTAAATCTTAAGCAACACATTGATGCGCATGTGTACTCAAATTTGACTAAATCCTAAGCAACTCATTTACAAACAACTGTGTTCAAATTTGAATACATCTTTAGAAACTCTTTTTATAAGCAACTGCAACCAAATTTCACAAAATCATAAGCAGCTTATTTATAAGCAACTGTTCTCAAATCTGGCTACATCTGATGCATTTCTTTTATAAGCAACTGTACTCAAATTTGGCTAAAACTTAAACAATCCTAATCCTCGTCATTATTTTATGTTACATAATACATCTTTTACTAATCAACTTTCTTGAACAAGGTATGGAGGACTGACCGGCAACTCTTATCAGTTCAATAAAGCAAAAGAAAAGCTTTCTATTCTTAAGAAGCTTCCCTCGAGGGCTATCCGTAACGAGACGGGTACCGTAATATAATAAAGTAAATATATTTATTTCTTATATCTGGACACGAATTTTTATGGAATGCCAGGTCGCAACTAGATATTTTCCAGGGCGTACCAGGACGAACCATTTGAGAACCACTGGTTTAGTCTGAAGATCTTTCGAAAGACGAAACGAGTAACTTTTTATTTTGTCATTTTATTTTGCCCCCCCCCCGTTATTTTTTAATCCCAAATTTCTAGGTCTTTCTGCGTAGACGGGAACCCAGATCATTAGTACATCTGAAAAATGTACAGTTATTTCAACAACGAGACAGGTATCTTATTCCATATTCTTATTAATCCTTCTGGTTGGACGACCAACAGCTCCTACCTGTTCAATAGAGTAAAACAAAAGCTTTCTATTATTAAGAAGCTTCCCTCAAGGGCTATCGGTAACGAGACGGGTCCCGTAATATAATAAAGTAAATATATTTATTTCTTATATCGGGACACTGGAATACCAGGGCGCACCTAGAAATCTTCCACTGGGTACCAATGCACCCAGGCGCAGCATTTGAGTATCACTGACGTAGAAAGTGAGAGTCTTGGCTGTAAATATTGAGCTCGTGGCACGAAAGAACGGATCCCGTCGGACCATTTTGCCCTTGAAGTAGCGATAGGCTCGCGGCATTGCAAAAGAGATTATCTTATACCGTAGACAAGCATTTAACTATTTAATAAGAAACAGGCAAGACCAAATCTCAAAGTTTGGAAGTGTAGCTAACATTCCGAAAATTGGAATAATCAGTTCACTAAGGAAACGTATCTTTGATAGACGACGGTATTCAGTCTTGAAATCATGGTCTGACCAGCGTAGTTATATCTCTTCAAGCAGAACATCAATGCTGGCGGCGCTGACAGTCTAAAAGCCTTCAGGGTCTTCACCGAGGTAACTCTATTACGCATTAAAATGATGCACAGGCAACGCTGATGGAAATGCTTGAGGGAGTGTTACAGGCGCTGGTAGATGACAGAACTGTGCTAAAAAAGAAATTATATTTTTGAGAATACAAATATGATCGTCAAAAATGTGAAGTTCGTATTGGAAGCATCGGAATCAGGCATATACAAAAATTAAATATATATATATATTAGGTTGGTGCAAAATTAATGACGTAATAATGTCGTTTTTTGACGTACTTTTCTACGTCAAAAACGACATTCTTACGTCATTATTTTGCACCAACCTAATATGTATATATATATATATATATATATATTCATGCACGTTTCATTAAATAATATAGACAAGTGTTGTCTATTTATTTTATGTAAATTCTTTTCATAACGTCTAATAAGTTTAATAACATTATCATTGAACGAAGAAATTACATAAAATAAATAGACAACACTTGTCTATATTATTTATTGAAAGGTGCATGAATGAAAAGATGCTGCCTAAATACACGCAATATATATATATATATATATATATATATATATATATATATATATATTGTGTGTGTCTGTGTATAGCGTAATAACAAAAGATGTAGCACAGACATCGGAATGACCAACGGAATGGAGGAAGTTGCCTTCTAAACCTAAGCAAAGAATTAAAACAGAATTAGTTGGAAACGAAGAAAAGAGTGCTGAACTATAATGCCATATCATATTTATACTATTGTTCACCGGGAATAAGTGGTGAGAGAGGCTTAAGGATAAGGTAAGGTTTTTCACCACCGAATATAGTTAACGACTCGCTCTAGATAAGGTTAAAAGGTAAAGAATCTAGAGCATAGTCTGTCCCGGGCGGAGACTGGTGGGGATTC